GGCTGGGGGCTGGAGGCGCTGCCGGGGCCGCGGCGGCCGGACCGGGGGGGTTCCCGGGGCGCTGGGCTCCCCCCGCCCGCCCCTCCTCACACCTTTGATTTGAACCCGCGAAACTCCCGCTGCCGTCCACCGAACTCACGGGGATTCTGCCCCGGGTCCAAAAAACCACAAACCACTGGAAAAGCCAAGCACAGGTAACCCCGCAGAAAGGCAGCCAGGGAGGCACGAAGCTTCTCGCCTCGCCCCAAGGTTGAGGAGCCCCGCGGGTGTCCCGGGCAGGTCCCCCCCGCACCCGCCCTCACACACACCATTTCTCTCAGAGTCCTGGAGGGAGCTCACCGCCCCAACGCCTCGGCTCACATTGGTGATTGAAAACAAAAGTTACAGTCCGCAGCCTGCAGCCAGTTCTCCAGCAGGTGCTCTGAGGGCAGAAGTCACCTCTCCGCTCCCTTCAGCCCCCCTGTGCCACCGAGGCCCACCGACCGCGCTGGCACCGCAGGTGTGGGCACCGCAGAGCCCGTCCCTGCCACCAGGCACAGCCGATCCTCAGCCTAAACCAAAGGAACGAGAGACACGATCATGTAACACTCGGGGAGCTGCGCCAACAACAGCAGCTTTGACGGGTCCTTTCCACGCTTTCTGCATTCCCAGAAATACAGGCCACGTGGTGACCTATACGATTTGGGACTAGATAGTTAACAAAGCCTTGGTACCTGCACACTACTTATCTACTACCCTGTAGCACGTCAGAGCAGTTTTAACTGTTTAATGCTTATTCTTCGCTGCAGTTAACGTGCGAACCACAGCTTTGACTTGGCAGTGGGACTCTGGTCAGCTCTAAGGGAATATTTAGGATTCTCTGCCCCCCAAGATACCCAGGCCTCTTCTACAGCACGTTCCTGAAAGAAAGGAATATTTCTGTTGCTTGTATAATACCTTGTACGCTGGAGACTTGGCCCATTGCTTGAGTTCAAGACAAGGGCACTACCTTGTGCCATCATCAGCTCTTTGCTCTGCAGCACCAAAACACTGCACACACCCAGTGGAAGAGCAAAGGTCTGGCAAAGGCAAACCGTGACCCCTCCCAGAATGCTCTCACCAGCCTCTTAGTTCTGATCTGCCACCTGCTCCCTTCCTTTGATGCACCCAGGTTTTGTACTGAAAAAAAAGCCCATGAACAGACATTTCTTACTCACCTCCTCTGCCCTCTCAGGGTTTCACAGACCTGCACCATTGCTCTTGCAGGCTGGTGAGTTCTTAACCACATAATTACTCCTCCAGAAGTCTTCCCACATCTTCAATTATTCCTGTTATCCTTCCCTTTTCAGGTGTGACTCCAGCCAGGCAGCAGGCATCACCTGCAAAGATCCACGAGGGAGTGAGCACAGACCGACAATGCCGCACGTCCCACCTACAGCTGTGCTTCCTGTGATCTCCGGGAGCCTGAGGACCCCCAGCAGTGCCACCGCCTCCACGACACCGACGTGGAAGCAGCCATCGTGGTGGAGCAGCTGTAGAGCATCTCCAAGGCCTCCGCACCCACGCAGGAGCAGAGGATGCCATCCAAATTAACTCCACGGTAGCATCTCCTAGGGCAATCCTGCAGGGAGCCTGGAAAGAACTGCAAAAGGTTTTATTGCGCAAGGACGTGACCCAATCCCAAGGTGGAGACAGAGCTCACCCCCCTGCCCCAGCCTGTACACCCCCACCACAGAGAATCCCATGGGCACTGATCACTGCCAGCACTCAGCTGTTGCTCAGCAGCTATCACGTCCTCCCCGCAGCCGGAACATTAGTCCCGACACACAGGCTTCATTGTGAAGCCCAGAACAAGAAATAATATGCAATAGTCAGTTTCAACTTCCACAGAAGCCTTTTCCCGAGCCTATCCCATTGCACAGACCCCTGGTGCTAGACAGGCCTGGGAACAGCAAGACCTCGTTACCGAGAGAAGAGTCAACGGCTTCACCGACAACTATTTAGACCAGGAGACCACTCTCTGCACAGCCATCTGCTGTCCTAGTCTTCCAAGAAGGAAAAAATCCATCTCTGACAAAAGGACATCATGTCATTCCATTATTATCTGCCATGCATGTTCAAGGATTTTAAAAAAGAAAATCTGAAAGCTCTTTTTAGCCCATAATATGGATCATTTGAGAAAGAGTATGACCATTTATGCCAAACAATTTAATTTTTTTATTTTACAACCAAAAATATACATTTATTCTATATTTTCTCTCTTTTTAACCCCTCCCCCCCCACGTAACACACTTATGCTCAAGGACCATTCTGAATACGGCCCACAGCATTATATACATACATAAAAATACAACAGGAGGAAGGTCAGTCCACAACCTAGCACAGAAGCTCCTCAGCAGCAGAACGTGGGATACTCCAGAAATCCTGGAGTCCTGCCAGCAAAGGACAGGATGGACACGGCGACCACCAGCACAGGCGATCCTTCAGCACTGAATTCAGCTGAGAAAGGCAAATTCATAACCTGCTCTGAGCATCACCAAGGAGGGCAGGTAAGTCTTCTCAGTCAGGGTGTTGAGTCAGCACATTCTCCTTGGGACGGAAAAGTAGTTGTTCCTTTATTTCTCAACTGCTTGAAGACCTTCCTATCTCTTGGCTCTGTCCGAGGGCCACCAGCTCCAGGGAAGCTTCGCAGGGTTCCCCACACTTTCCAACAGGAGCTCAGGATCCGTGTTGTGAGCAGCATCAGGAGCAGCAGCGGGGCAGTTCAGGCACCGCATCATCTGTCCCTTTTAGGGTAAGCAAGCGTGGCGCAGGCGGACCCGCAGCAGGTGAGGGACCAGCACCAACACTCCTCTAAACAGGGCCAGGGCTGACTCGGCCAGTTGCTTCTCCAGCCCTCACACAGTCATTGCATGGAGGGGAAATGTGAAAGGCTGTTGACTTACATGAGACAATTCAGCTCTTGCACACAGACAAACAGAGACTTTTTTCCTCAAAAGTAAATTTAAAAAAAAAAAAAAGGGGGGGGGGGCTTGAGGCTGCATTGCTCATTAACAAAAAAAAAAGATAAGCAAAGGACCTGCATAGTTTTGGCAACCAACGCTGTTCTCCATGTTCTTACCCAACTTTTCTTTCTCTGTGGTGGGAACACCTGGTAGCAAATGCTTTCCCCTACCTGCACGTGATCCAAACTAACACCTCCACACTGCACCCTGCATGATGATTTCCCAGAAACTCTCACCTCAATATCCATCAGGAACAGCAGAGATTTGGGGCAAGAGATTTATGCAGTCCCCAAATGTTTCAAATTCCCTCTTTCTACCATCCCTAATGGAAAGTTGCTATTATTTATAGCAGATCCGCACCTACCTGGAGAACTCAGGTAGGAAAGCACCCCCAAAGCTAGAGGAATACCCCTTCACCCTTGGAAAACACAGTACGTCCCAGAAACCAGCCTAACACAGCTTTCAGCTGAACAGTCCCTGGATTGGAACACAGTGTCTTGAAACTGCACGCCAGACAGCTCAGACAACAGTAGTCCCTTTTCCAGCATGGAAGAGGTTAGTAAGAAGCTCCAGACAGTCTTTAAATGAACCACACTCTGCATGCACATAAGTATTTTCAACATATCAAGCCATAAAACCTATTCAGACCAGCAGAAGTCTGCAGATCTGAACTGCAATGTAAGAGAAGAACACTGCCAGAGAAACACATCCACCTCCCACTTGCCTCCCAACTTAGAACACCAGCCAGCTTGATCCTCGCACGCCTGTGGTGTTTGAGTCTCTAGTCACTAAATACTGACAGCTCAGACTCAGCACGGGGTTCTGCTCTGCCTCAAGCACCTGAATGTCTCCAGAGCCTTCATCTGCAGAGTCAGCTTCCTCCTTCACAGCATGCTCCAAGACCCTGCCAGTGCCACGAAGCAGCGTGCAGACAGAAAACGCACCTACCTCACGGGTTTTGCTCCTCAAACTCAGCCCTGATTCAGCGCTGTCACTTGGATTTTCCCGTGCGCTCAGACACACAGCAGTACAGCCTCCACAGACTGCTTGACAGCTACTTCAGCTCAGCTGGACAGCAGTGCTGTCTGTCCTTCTGTCTCCCTATCCTTCAATCAGCTCACATCCATGCTGCCAGTTACTAGTCCCCCAAACGCTCCCAGGGCACAAGGAACAGTCCATTCCTCTTCATACCTCTCTTCTCCTTCCCACAGAACACTCATTTTAACCCCAGACAACTGCAATTCATGGTTTTCAGCAGTATTAGCTAAAACCAGAGATGAGCCCAGCTGACCAGCTTCCCTTTTCCTGCACTGTTATCACCACCTACCCTTTTGCATTATGACAAGACCCAGGCAACCACGCTGCTTGAAAAAGCCCAGGAAGACCATCTTTGGTTTCAACCACCGAACTGTTTCTATGTATGTACAATACAGCAGTCAAATCAATACCCTCATCCCTAAACGCCATTCCCCTGATTGGCAGACAAGTGCTTTCAGTCATTGAGAAGGAAGAGGTGCCAGTCAAGCCTGTCTTCTGGGTCATATTCACATCCAGAACACAGAAGATCAGGAAGGTTCAGTGTTTATAGGTTTATGAACAGAACTGTTCTACATTGTTCTCAGGTAGTGACAGAAAACGTTCTTTCCAACAGAATTTGGGCTGCCGACTTAGTTCCACAATGGGTTTTGGAAATCCTAAGGAAGAGAAGAGAGCCATGGCAGATAGCCAAGGGCAGATTTCCAACAGGCATCCTAAGAGCTGTGGTACCGGGGAGTTTGGAAGGAAAGGAACGAGGCATCGTGTGGAGCGGGCAGCTCTGCCCTAGGCATTGATGGCTTTCCAGCGGTCACTGTCTATGCTGTTGATGCTGCCCACGTGATACGGCATAGAGGCCACGTCGTCCAGGTAGGCTGTGGTGTCAATCTGAGTGCTGGAGTAGAACCCAGAATCCATTCCTTCCTTCTTGGCAACAGCATAAGGGTGGGGCAGGTGCACATCCACATCCTCAGGCTCATCCACCTGACATTTGTAGGAGAAAAGGATCTTCGGTTCAGACCTGGAGTGATTAAAGGTTTAAAATACGTGCTTAAGCAATGCAGTCTCACAGCCACTTATCCTTAACTGAAACTCAGCGGCACTACGAAATCGTGTATTCAGACCCTAAGAATTATCCACATTAGCTTTCAGTCTCGAAATACACCTAGCAGAGGAATTGCCATAATGCTAAATGTAGCTCTGGACTAAGCCACCTTAGAGAAACAAAACCGGCAGAATCCTGACTAGTGTGGGAAAAGTGTTCTCAGCTCTGGGAGTTCTGAATTACCAAGGGCAGCAGCATTCCCACCGCTGGACTCCACAGCAGCCTGGCTACTGACACCAGCAGAACGGGAGCCCACCTCGAGTTCCATCTGTGCACATCAGGGAAATGAAAATAGAAACTCCTGAGCCACAAGTGTTTGTATCTCCAACTCCAGACACTGTTCCCCCTGATTTCAGAAGGCAGCAGAGGCGCGTTTTGATATTTTAGGAGTACTTTATGTTCTTAGTTATTTTAAAGCCTGCTGTTTTTTTGCTTATGGACAATAAAAGCTAAAGCCTACCCTAAACCACTCGACTTTTCCTACCAAGATGCATCTCCTCCGAGTGGCCACACGGTGGCAAGCCTGACCCAGGAATCACACCCCCGAGTACTTTTAAGGAATGACTCCTGGGCCCACCGTAGAGGAGTCCTCAGCTAAAGAGTGACCTAACCCCTAGATCCTTTCTACAAACCTGTCCCAGAACTCACCCAGAAGACCATTTAATCTTCCGGGACTCAATTTCTCATTAAGCATTTAGTTCACAACTTCAGCAGAAAAACTTTGTACTAAGCAGGATGCAGACACTGAAGAAGTGATCCTCATAAATGTTTGAGAGGAATATAGCTATCGGCTCTACCTTGCATACAAAAGTAGTCTTGGATAGAAGGGAGCAGCCCTGGGTCACATAAGAAAAACCTCAAGGCCAGAAATTAAAAACTGGTTCCCTAGCTGGCATTCTAGTCGCTGCTTTTATTCTACAGATGGGGAGAACCCGAGTGCTAAACAATTAAATGACAGTGTATAACCTTAACTGCTGTTCATGGCTACTCACCCAAAGAAGCCTTTCAGGAACGCCACATAGATGAGAGGTGCAAAGAAGCTGAAGTAAAGGAAGGTGGTGGCGTCAACACAGCTGTCAACGGCAAAAGGGAACATGAAGGCGTTTGGCACAATACAGCTGTGTAACACCAGTCACATCCCCCCAAAATGATCCAGTTTTCCTCCAGAATGTCCAAGCAGAGGGCAAGAAAAGTGCTAAACAAATTAAAACTGAGGCAAAGTAACATGAGGCAAAGTAACAGACATTGCCATCAGCATGTGTCACTGCTCCTAGACAGCAGGAACCATGCCAAGACCTCAGGTCTGACCAAGAGCAGTCTCAGTGCTCCCAATTTTGGCTCACGGAAGTGACACTGATCCCTGCAGAACTCCAGAGATGAGTAAGGGTATCTCTGTGCTATTTCTAGCAAACACTATTTCCTCCCTTATTACCTATGAAACCCAAGCCAGCGGCCAGGCATCAGTGGATTCAAACTACTACTATCACTGACCACCCAGAGACCGCTGCAGAGCACACAGCTCCACACCCTGTGACCTTCCTGAACACTCAGAGGGCTTTTGGCACAAAACACAACCAACAGCTTTATTCCTTCTTAGGAACACAGCACAGGTTTGTTTTTGTGGGAGAGGCCACGTTGAAGGACACCCAAATGCAACATGAGAAACGGGGCTGCAGACCTGCTTCCCCTGCACACATACCACAGTCCTTCTATGATATCCACACAGAGGAGGGCACTGCCCAGGCCCTGCACCAGGTTCAGCAGCGCCAGGATCCCAGCATAAACATAAAAACTCTTCCTGGCTGTGGGAAAGACAGACACAGATGAAGCTCAACCTCATAAGCACCAGCCCAGTGCAAATCTGTTTGATGGAGATGGCGAACGCAACACAAGCATCTCGCCATCCTGCCTGTTTAAGAACTCCTGAAGAATTAAGACTGCATTTTGCTGTCCCATGCTGGCAGGACTGATGGAGGTACAGGGGACTAAACTCCACTCTCCTGCATGTGCATACACACACAAGATCAGTTTTGAAAACACACAGTCATGGCAACACATGCAAAGATTTTATAGGTGAGCATCTGGAACCAGTGTGAACCACAGAACTGAAGGTAGGAAACAAACACAAACCCCACCGCTGAACCAGAAGCTGTGCCCTTCCAGTGTACAGCACTAACAAAACTGCTCCGGACACCTGGACAGGAGCAGCAGGGTGTGCAGGACACCAGGCACATGGGGCCCAGGACCACCTGCCTGCAGCGTGCACCACACAGATCCACCCCCTCAGGGTACCCACACATGGACACCAACGCCACTTAGAGAGAGAACAGCCCAATGCAAACAGTAACAGCTTCTCTCCCTGTTCAAGAACTGCAGATATTCTGCCACAGAAAGAAAAGCATCTTAATAAAGGAAATGCCTAGATAAAAATGATTAAGCAGCTCCCAATTAGCTTTTCTTTCCCAGGGGATGACCAGCATGTACACTTTAACATCATACATGAAAGGAAGCTATTATTAAGAAACCATTTCTTAAGGCACTGTGAGGATTATATATTTACATTACATCTGTATCATTAACTGAGCAGACGATCTTGTTTTCTTAATGTAATTGTTTAGCTACTGAAGTAGCAGGGTAATTGCACTTACGCTGCTCTCCAGAAGGCACAGCACACTTTTTCCAGGGATAATTTATCAGTCCTTTGCCATGGATCTGTACCCCGAGACAGTGGGATGTGCAGCACAGCCACATACAGGAACCCCTTACCCCCACCTACGTTTTAGCCTGGTGCTGCCTCCATCTATACTACGGCACACACTACAGTCACTTACAGGGCAGAGAAATCCGGTCTTTCAGAGGAGTTTTTGGAAGAATCACCACCAAGGAATAGACCTGTTGAGACAAAGAACTAACCGTTCCATGGCTGCTTGGCAACTGAACTCCACAATCTTTGCAGGGACAGTGTGTGGTGTCACACACACCCTAGAGATCCTGACACAGAGGCACAGACCCCTGCTATCAAACCCCGCACGGATGGTGCGGATCTGAAGGCCCCACACCTCACCCCCATGAGCACAAAAAGACCCGTCAAGGAGAAATAAGGGAGTGAAGAACAGAGTTCAGCCACTGCACTTACAAACGCTTCTTGCTTCAGCCTCCCCACCACGTGCGAAGCACCAGTGCCGCGCTGTATCAGGCAGGAGGGGACTAGGGCCTAATTACACACCAACCCTCCTCTTTGCCCCATTTAGAAAATACAAAGGAGCTATCGGAGTGCATAACACATGCCCAGTACTTACCAGAAAGAAGAAACAGGAGCTGGCAAGCCAGAAGTGTCTCCCTCCATGGCCATAGATGTTGAAGTCTTCCGCTGAGAGGTGGGCATCAGGGTACAGGATTTCCAGGGTGCCCTAAGGAGAGAAGCACCAACACGACTGTCACAGGCAGCATCCTCACTAGAGCAGGTGTCTGGACAAGGGAGACTGTATTTAAAGAAGTCCAGACACCAGCTGTTGCTGACACATAAGAGCCAACCAGTGCCCTGCTTAGACCAAGTTAAGCTCACACAGAAAAAGAAGAAACTGAAGACATAAGTGAGGGGGGAAAAAAATGGCAGGAATCTGCATCTGGAGGAAACCAGCATGGATGACATTCCAGGAGGCTGAATGAAGGGACAGGGGACACAAGCAGTTGCCTGAAATAGACTGAGAGTTCCATTTCCATCTCTAAATTAGACCTTTCCTGCTGAAACATCCAGGGTATAAAAGCCCACACTTGCGCAAGAGTTGGGAAAGGACACTGTCTCATTCACTTGAAGTCCTGCAAAACAGTATGAACAGAAGCTACCCTACAGACAGTGGAGAGAGAAAAGTGCTTGTAAGCACTCCTGAACCCAGATATAGCTCAAACACTTGATACTTAATGAGGATCCTCCAGCTTTATCATGTGGTACTGATCAGCTCACTGCCTACACAAGCAAGAGCCTGGTCCCAGAACAAAGATCTCTGTGTTGTTCTGGAGCTGCCCCAAGTATAGAGACACAGGGCTGACCACTCACATCCCAAGAAGAATAAACCCAGACACATAGTGCATTGTCCAGAGATGGAGACGCAGCTAATAAACTGAGCCAGCAAGCCAGCTGCTAGTCTGGGGGAAGCAAGAGCTCTCAGCTCTCCAAGAGTCAGGAGACAAGAGCCCCACTGCACTGCCCTTACCTGCCAAGCACACCTCAGGTCTCTCCATCTAGTTTTCCTGGCACTTGAGGCCAGATTCAGAACTTGTGGCTCTGGTGTGAAAGACCTCTCACTCCTGTTCCAAGATTGGCTAAACAAGGCAATCCATCTAAACCTCACCTCATTTCTTCCCCTCGCCTGACCCAGTCATGCCATAAAGAGGACAAAGTCTGGTGTGCGCTATGGGGATCCTCATACATTGCCACAAGCACCCAGTCTTCCCCCAAAACCTCACCCAAGGAGCAAAGCTGCCAATTCTCAGAGAGGAGTCCCACATCTAACTGCCCAACTCCAAGCTAAGTCCCCTCTTTCACAAAGACTAATTCTTCTGCTCCAATGTACTCACCTGGGTGACAGAATAGGCCAGAGACAGCACTGTAGTGATTGCCAGAACACGTTTCACGCTCGACTTGCTCTCCAGGTGACCTGGAATTCAGGAATACAGAAGTAACTGAGGATGTGGTCCCTGCCCTGGTAAAAATAATTTCTCTCCAAAACCAAGAGAGGAAAACACCTGTATTTCCAAGGGCATTCAAGGCAAGGTTAAAGCTCACTTAACCACTAGAAGCTGCTTCCCTTTTGGAGAGTTGAGTCTTTCACAGAAAAATAATACTTAAAATAGGCTTTAACTTACTTTCCTCCTGCCCACACTTACATAGAGAAAGCAACTAAGTCCTTCCACTGGGGTTACCAAAACAAAAAAGTCAGGAATGACTCCAGTATCACATACAACAAGATGTTGTAAAGTTTCTTCTCAGGTAATGGGACACTGGGTTAGAGCTGGGGAAATGGGTTTACATCATTTACAGAAATCTGCACTGGAAAATGCTGGAGCAATCTCCAGAAGCTCCTTCCAACCCAAATTATTCTATGAGCCCTCAAAAGATGAAAGGGCTAGTGCTCAGCTGTCACCCCTGGCAGATGCAGTGACACCTACCAAGCCCCCTCCTCTACCTTTGACCCACAGAAGAGATGCTCCAAACAGCATTTTCCCTTGTACAACTGAAAAAAGTAGAGTTAGATTGCAGCTACAGTTAAAGCATCTGAATGAAGCCAGGATCCATCAAACCCACCGAGGAGGGGACAGAAGCACCCGCAAAGGAACAATCTTAAATAAAATGGAGTTGAAACAAAGATCAGACTGTTGATCTTTGCATAAGTCTTCTTCATCTAAGCTGTCCACTCCTTCACCACATGCAGGCAGGACAAAGAACATATAAAACCTGCAACTGCACAAGTCATAGATCTGTAAATACAATCAGGCTTTCAGCCATTTCGAACTAAAGCTCCCCAATTTATTCTTTGTCTTTATTCTAGAGCTCATTCACTTTACGGAATCAGCATCTTCATAAACTTACAGATGCAGTCTCTATGGAAAGAAAGGGAATAGGAAACATTCAAACCACTCAAAAACCTCCTGACACATACCAAAGGCAAGGCCTAGAATCACCACACTCAGTTCAATCGCCAGAAGGAAGAACCTTGTGATCTCCCACAGGATCTGAGGGATAACAGAAACCAGACAAACATGATTAGAGAGAGCCCGGAACCAGTCGGAAGTTAATACAGCAAAACCCACTCTCCGCTGCAGGGGTTGGCAGCCTCTGAATGGAGCAGGTCATTTCCACAAACCTGCCTCCTGCTTTGTAGGGATACTAATTATATGCTTGTTCCACGTCCCGTCCGTGCCTGTGAAACAGAACAGTTGTGTGGGAGTGAGCAAATAGCAGGCCTACGGAGAGAGGAAGTGGCTATGGTTTGCCACACTTGAGGATCTGTTGCTTGTCTGGATGTGTTCTCTCTGCTGTACTCCCGTGGAGCACAAACCCAAGACATCAAAAGTAAAATGTTCAACAGGGCCAGTACTTAAAGCAGTAGATTCTGCAGTACGGTTATGACTGAACAAACTCTGCACTTCTCCACAGCTACTGGTCCCTAATCCTAAAGCACATTCAACATTAAAGCCCTCCCACTTCCACCTTGTTATTTTCATTCCCATGTTTTATTTGGTGAAACAAGACCAAAAAAACAGCAGGTGAGGCAACTTTCCAGGTAGTCATGCAATAAATCCATGCCAAACCTAGAATAAGAACCCAGATTCTGGCCTATTAATTCTTTTCCTCTGAACACTGAATGGCACTCTCTCAGATATACAATATTTTAAGAGGCATTTGATAAGACACTTCTAATCTCAGAAAACACACAGTGTGCGTGTACATACATATATGAGAGAAAACAAAAGAAACATACTCGACATGATAGAACATGTGTACAGGAAAAATTGGCAGAGTATCTGTCCTACTTGCATGACTTCCCAGCAAGGTGCACTTAGCAGCAACACTAAGAGAACTGAAGAAAAGCACCTTCTCTCCCCTTCTCCATTATTCAAGTCCTGGACCTATATTTATTCAACAGAGGTGAATGAAAATGCTACAAACAGCAGTGAATTATTACAACACTCTGGCAGGTAAGACCGAAGGGAACAGTGAAAGAACCACACTGAATCCGGAGAATAAAGTCAGGAGACCTGTACTCTGTGGGTGACTCGCCTTCCTCTAGCAGTTCAAGAGCTACAGAGCTTTTTGTTTCAGGTAATATTCTGCTACAAGTCAAATGACTACAAAGGAACAGCACGCACAAACCTATTTCCTGTTTGCTAAGGGATTGTCCTGTGCTCAGAGTGGCTGCAAGGACGGTCAGCTATCAGTCTCCAAAGGGAATTCTGGTTTATTTGCTTCCAATACAAAAGAAGTCAGTATTTTTCAAAGAGCCACTCAAATATTGCAAGGGTAACAAAGGCCAGGCCTTGCCTATCCACTAAATGTATCTGAATGTTCGGCTCTTGCAAAGCAGAGTCATTCCATCCTTGCAACAGGAAAGTTTTCCTGCTGCTATTTGTGTGTCTATTTTAGGAAGTCCATTGTTTCACAGCCCTGGATGTTGTGATCAGATACAGCTATCAGAACAGGATACCATAGGACACATAGCTATGACTACTGAAAAAAAAAAAAACAAACCCAACATTCTTCTTGTATGCACATAAAAGGAAAGCCATAGCAGACTGCTGCTGGGATCAGAACTGCACAAAGCAGAGCCTCTAAAATCAGTGTTGTACCTACCTTATCAGCAACTGTGGCAGCATCAGAGGCACTCACAGTCATGGAGACAACAGCACGGGCAATACCAACTAAAGCCACCACAAATACCTACACAAAAAGATACCAAAGTGAGCTCATGTCAAAAGGCACAGATGCAGTAGTGTCCTGAAACCCTTTTGGAATACCATTTCTAGGTCATCTTTCAATCCTGACAATGTATGCTAAGGATTTCCTGAGCAGATTAATTTGCTGAAGAAGATTCCTCAGGCCTGCTAGATGTAGGATTACTGGTTTAGAATTTAGGAAGGAACACATTTCCTCAACTGTCAGATTAGAGAGCTCTTAAGAGGTCTCACCCTCTCCTTACAACAGCACCTTTACAGGCAAACAATCTTCACACCTTTCAATCAACTGGGGCAGGGGAGGAGAAAAAACATCCAAAAAACCATATCCCTCCAAATTACAAGATCAGGTGCTTGGTATGACAGAATAAACCAATCCCATCAGATAACAGAGGCCACTCGATACCAGCTACCACACTTCAGATCTGTGATAAAACTACAATCTGCAGTTCGTTCACTCAACACTGACAATGCTCAGGAATGCAAAGAAAAAGAAGTCAGCTGCAGGCAACAGCTTTAAAACATCTTACCCTGCTGCACAGTGCAACAGAGATACCCAAGTCAGGTCACGTACCATTTAAGCCTGACAGCACGGAGCTCAGCACGGCTAATTTACCAACTCCAGTGCTGTCACAGCCATACTATGCAATTAAGAGCTCGGTCAGATCTATCTACCCTCTGCTGTGCAGACTTACACTCTAAGAAAGCAGATTTTTCCAGATAAAATTCTCCAAGTCATGGGCTAATTCTAATGATGCGGGTATGAGATAGCTAAATCTGTCAGAGAATGAAGAGAGTCCAAGCTGATTCTAAGGTGGCTGGAGAATGGAAATGACCAATAAGCCACCTACAGCTGAGTAATTCCTCTTTGGATGAAGGGACCCAAATGGCATAAAATACAACACTCCCTCCTGGGGTGCGAAACACTGACAACAAAAAGAAGGGCCCCTGACTGTGTTCTAGAGCACCAACAACTCACTGGAGAGGAAAGCACACTCTTTTTGCTTCACCTCCAAGGAGGCAGAGACTCTTCCCGATCTATTATCTTTGTTTTAATCACTGACTCCACAAGAAAGCATTCCCTCAAGACATGACAAACAGCCACTTGAAAGGAAATCCTCACAGAACACACTTCCATCCTCATTTCCCAATAACATACTCCAGAAGATCAAACTGAATGGAAAGTATTTTCCTCTCAGGCTGCTTCACTTTCTGCTTATCTCTTCTGTTTTGAAAAAGTCAACAGCATAGTCAGTTCACTCTTCCCTTTGGTTTATCAGCTTTGCTTTTCAAAGCCTCTGGCATGAACTTCCTACTGAGCCATGTGCACTATTGGAAGCATAAAGGAAGATTTAAATCGAGACCAGAAACGGCTGGTAATATATTAAAAAATTAGGAGAGTGTATGTGTATACACCTGGTTATCCAAAAGTGTGCACAAGCCCAGCGCCCACACTCCAGGCCTGAAAGAGCTAACAAGACTTCCCACCAAAGATTCAGTTGAGGCTACAAGCTCAGGTTTGGTTTTGATGCTTCTTGGGTTTTGCCGTGCCGCAGCTGTACGCAGCCCAAGGAAGGATGTCTCCTACCTAACCGGAGTCAAACACACCTTTACTTCTACAGCCTGTCCTGATCTCACCCAGGAAAAGCAAGCGCCTTGCGCTACGCGCTGAGTCAAGCCAGGATCTCAAAAAGCATCTGTGATAAAGAATGAGATTTTTAAATTCAGGTAGGTTCTTAGCTGCGTTTACCATGCCCTGTGAGCAGCATCACAGTTAATAGTTATGATGTTCAGAGCTTACTAAAGAGATTACCTTAATGTGATCAAATCTGCACATGCCTTTTTAAACTGGGGAGAGAACAGACGAGATCTTAGATGTTTGAGAACTGTAACTGTACTGCCTATAGATTCTGTTTCCACCTTTAAAAGTGCCAAGAACATCATCAAGTCAGCAACCACCTTGATATGGTGGGAAAGAAACTAGCAGGGCTGGGTTTCTACATTCCCAGACTAACCAGAGCCCTGTCACATCATTTTCTACAGCAGATGACCAAGCTTTTCAACAGCTTCACACAAATTATTCTCCAGCGTTTCACTTCCCACAGGCTCAGTGCGAAGCTGGTTTTGTGTCACATGCTACTTACTGCAAGGAGCAAGGAAAGTGTAAAATAGTAGATTCCAAGACAACAAAGCAACAAAAGAAGAAAAAAGGAAAAGAAAAAAAAAATCACCACAGGAGAACAAAATCCACTCAAATCCAGCAGTTATGGTCCCAGAATCTGAAAATCAGAATTCAGACAGTGAAAGGAAAAAAAAAAACTGTTTACTTCTTGTAGTATACCTTCAACTAAAAATAGTTTTTTCCCTGCAAGATCTGGTCTAGGGTCTCTCTCCACTAGTTCAGTGATATTGTTCATGAGTGGTAATAAAACCACTCACTCATCGGTTCAAAAGCACAGAGCAGTTGGTACTCACTAGTATGTAGAATGTAGTGAAGATTGGGCTGGAAGTCACCCGGATTTTGGCCCTGGCAGAGGGCAGCTTCCATAGAAGAAACATAAAGAAAAGCACATTGGGAACCAGGAGCAGAAGATCCCAGTAGCGGACTCTGCAAAAAGTAAAGAAAACAGCGTTTTTTTTCCTGTTCTTCAGCATCCAGAAGGGAAAGCACCAGCCCCAGTCCCTTCTCAACCAAACTCTGAGAAAAAAATGCTCTTTCCCCTCGCCCAGGGTCAGGCCACAGTCCCATTTCCTCCATCTCACCTGGACTTCCCAATGTCCTCATAGAGCAGCAAGAGGCACTTGTGTGGCACAGTGATGTTGGTGTCATTGACCGCCTGCGTTGTTGTCGGGGTCAAAGCGGTCACGTTACCCAGTGCTGTCACCAGGGCAGTCGAATGTGTGATGTTGTCAGACACAGAGAATCCCATCGCAGACTGGAACATCCTGCCTTTCCTCTGGTCCAGGTCAAACGCAGCGCAAGACAACCACAGCAGAGACAAAAAGCAACATTAAATCAGTTGTGAGTCAGAGCTAAAAGCACATCCCTGCCATTAGGCCCCTGCACAAGTGCTTCCTGCTTGCTACAGCAAATTATCATCATCTGAAAGACTGTATTACACAATGAAACGTCACCCGCCCTTGCTCTGCGCACAGGCATTACAGTGGACAGCACAAACCCACTACCTGATATCAGGGTAACAAACACACTCAAAACAGTGTAACAGTGTGTTGGATTCAGTGCTGTGATTTTTCTTAGCTTTGGCAGATTCACGGAAGAAATCAAGACTCAGCAGCAATACTCCATCATCAGATGGAGACAGAAACCCTGCTGTACCAGAACATTAATTACTGTTCTAGCTGCCAAGACCAAGAAGTTACAGACAACGATTTGATTTCAACTGTCGCAAAGGAAAAATGAAGGCCCCTACCTAAAACCTGCTGCTGTTACCAACGCTGCAGTCTGGGAGCAGGGAGAGCCTCATGTACTTTTACCCAAGGGGACTGTACAGACTCTTTTAACTTCCAAAACCAACACTGGCAAAAGCCAAGATTCAGCATTTTTCTTCTAACCCTCTGCAAGACATCAGAACGATTCTGATCTTGAGCACGACAGTCAGACTGGGAAAAGACAGCGCCTAAAACCCTGTTAGCATAAACTCCTCCAGTTTCTTTCCATCCACCAGTCTCAATCGCATCGCCCTTCTCGGACACAGATCAGCATCATCCCTGATAGTTTACAAACCCAGAGCCAGACGCAGTCCTATCTGATGGGTTTCCTAAGGTCAAACCTGCAGGCAGCAGAGCGCTATGGTCGCAATCAGAAGTCACGGAGCTCAGGCCTTTTGCCTGCCCTACCCTACACCTCTGCCTCCCCTCAGAAAGATGACAAGGCAGAACTTCCCATTCCCCTGATGAAACTTTTTCATCCTGCCTTTCCTGAGAGAACATTCACATCTTTTCTGCCATCTGTCCGTCCCCCAGGCCCTACTCTGCTATGATTAACTCTGCCTCCAGAAGCTCAAGGGAAACTCTGCTCTGCCATCCATAAAACTCCATGTGCTTCATACCCATGCCGGGGGCAATTTATCCTTCTGTTGGTTCTACCATCACCTTGGAAGCTTGAGTAGACCCCGGCACACAGCACTTTAGATCAGAGCTAGTATATACTGGAGTTTTGACCTGATTTACCTTACTAAGCCTGATTCAACGTATCACCTTGTGCAAATCCTCTCTTCCTCCCACCCTAAAGCAGCAGCCCTCACCGGTAAGGCACCTGATTAGCTACAAGGGTGAATACAAACACAAGGTCCTGTCATCTCTCCTGCCACTCAAAGTGGCCACAGACCACACACAGGTTCAAAAAAAAAAAAAAACCACCCACTTCCATCAGTCAGCATCATAAAGATGCACATTGCCAGAGACAGCACTCCAGCAGTCCGTGTGCTACAGTTAATCTAGGGTTTATCTCAAAACAATTCTCCCTGTTTGACTTTAGCCTTGGCTGGCAAACTGACAGCCTCCATGACAGGACTCAGAAGGTATTTTCCCGGCGAGGTTCTGAGTGACTCACAAGTCGGAAAGAATCAGCAGAGCCCTGTGTCATCTGTTGAGCTTTTAGAGTTCAGGAGCACCTTCCCCACAAAGTGCTCGAGACTGCCAGCCACAGATTCTTCTTTCCCTTCAGAGGCTGTGGCTCTTCCCAGGTCTTCTGAGGGGTAAGGGGACCATCCCACCCTCAGCTGACAGACCCTCCCTTTGATTCATCCACGTTCACAGATACTTGCTGAGCTGGGATTTTTCTTTTGCGACTGCTCTATGCTGTGCTGCACAAGAGACATCACATTAAAAAAACACACGCAGACCTGGAAGAATCAACTTTGCGCTGAGATGGCAAAATCTGTGACAAAAAAAATCCTAGTTCTAGTAGAGGTTCCAGCAAACAACCTTCACATTCCAGACTTATCTCTAGAAGAGCCATCTCTTCCTTCCAGCTTCTCACTTCTCGGAACTGACACTGTTAAGAATGATTTTCTGTTAATAATTTTGCTCCATTCTCTTTCTCTGAAACACCACTGCATCTCAGTAGCAGCAAGGACAAGTCTGTTCACATTTGCCAACACTGAAAAAATTCTACCTAATTTTTTAAAAAGCTGGAAAAGCATACAGAAAAACATCAGAGAGCATGGGCAGGACAAGATCAACTGCAAACCATCACAACCTCCTAACATCTCTTCCAGGACAAAGAATTCGATCTGCCTGTCACACTGAAAAAAGCTTGAGTAAAGCTGTGAGAGAATTACCCAGGAAAAGCATCTTCCTTGTGAGAAGAACGAACAGGCTCCATTCTTTTTCCCTAGAAGCTGTCACTATCATGCAACAGCAGCAAGCTGCTGATAAGGAGAGGAGTTGGCTGCACGTAATGGCTCCAGTCACAAGGTTTCAAAGGGCAAAGCAGAACCCAGCTTACCTCCCAGGCTGCTCACGACCGCCTGGTATTAGTATCCTATTCTTTCTCCCAAGATGGAGTGCACAGAGAGCAGAGCAACAGAACATCCAACGTGATAAGAAAGGGCAGCCAAAGCCATCAGCCAGACAGCATGATCGTCAGCGCTCTTCTAATAGCTCACGTCTACAGCAAGGATGTGGAGAACTGGCCCATTCCTGTCCAAGTCACCAGCAAAAAGTCCACGGCAACGAGACCAGGAATTGATGGCTGGGATCCGGCTAGGCTTTGTCACCCTCAGCAACACTGCTCCTTACAGCACCCTGCGCAAACCCCTGCCCCGTCTAGTCCAAAATAAATCCAGTCAGCTGAGCATATCCAAGAGATCACTCACCACACCCTGCCTCCATGGGACTGTTCATTCCAGCCAGCCCAACCTACGTAACGGGGGTCAAATCACCCCATAGCCACATTACAGGAAGCCAATGCCGCAGTCCTGGTCTCCCTTTTTCCTCTAGCAGGGAGCTCCATTCACCATACACCAGAAAACAAACTAAAATGGTTTTCTACACTACAGCTGACGTCAGCCTCACCTGGCAGAGGCCTATTCCTCTCTCCAGGAGCTGGACTCACAGCTCTGCCCCTGTGACTCCCAGGTTGCCATGACAGCACTGGGGAAGGCTCAGCAAAAATGATCCCCCCTCACCAAGGGGCTGTTGTTTGATTCATGGCACTGTAGCCGTACCAGAGCTCGGCAAAATTCAGGGCTCAAATCCCTGGCAATTCTCTGTGCTCTCAAAACCCCACTGCATAAAGGTGAATACACACTACCAGAGTTCCAGCTCTAACCAAAAAATTAAAGTTTTCTTCCTTTCTGAAAACAGTATCAGAAAATCTTGCAAGTACAGATCATACTTGGGTTAAGACAGCGCCTTAAAACATTGTATTTGTGCAAGAAAAAACTGTGCTGTCCAGATCGCTGCTTACACACATCTGTTAACTGATTAACTTAAATGCTTAAAGAGAAAGTAAAAGGAAAAATGCCTTTTTTTCTTCTCTTTCAGATGTCTCTTCAGACTTCACTGTTGGTCACAATGTTTGCATTTTGCATTTCACCCTTAGAACTCACAAAACAGGGTTTTTCCACCAGTGATCTAGGACTCGTCTCTGCTCTTTAGTTGCCTTCTCACGCCTCGTTCTGAACTAAACTTAAAAAAAGAAAGGAACTGCAATGCGAAAAACAACCAAAGAAAAATGCCAAAAGCAGAAGCATCAACGATAACTCAAAACCAACAGACAGAGAAGCCCAGATCAGGGACGTCTTTCAGAAATAAGCATCCCAAGTTTTCTGTGGTTTGGGGTTTGGTTTTCTTTCCTCTAGAAGGCAGGTGCACAAACAAGCCCGGCAGCGGCAAAGGAGGCAAAGGAACAGTCCACGGCCGCTTCACTCGGCGCTGGCAGGGAAGCAGCGTTTACTTTAAAGGCTTCTGAATGAACCGGAGAGCTGGAAAAAAATCTTCGATTACTTTCTGCGCTTTAGGCGAGGCAAAGGTACCTCCGGACGCTCCCGCCATGGGGGGGCTCCCGGGCTGCGAGAGGAGGCACAAAGCCGCCTTCCAGGGACCCGCGGAAGCGTCTGCAAAGGGCACAACAAAAACCCAGCGAGCAGCGAGGTCCCCTCAGGCCACCGGCAACCCGGGAGCCGACAGCGCCCGGAACCGAGGGACCGCAGCGCCCCGGGCAAGGCACGAAGCTTTTTGTTTCCTGCCGTAATCACTACATGGAGAAAAAAAGAGAGGCAGGTGGGTAGCGAGGCGCGGGCTGCTGCTGCCTGACAGGCACCGTCCGGCTCCCCGGGACCAACCGCCGCGGCCCGGCCACC